CTGGCAATTTTATTACAATTCTAAAACAAAAAATATAAAATGTCCACCATTGCTTTCGGGAGGCCAAAACATTCACTGTTTGTGAAGTTAAATATAGTAGTTGTAGCATACATTTCTACTATTACTTGTATAATGACTGTAAAGAGATCACAACAGTTTACTTTGAATAAGCAGTTAAGCAGAAAAGATTGAGGAAACTGCTTGAATAAACAGAAAAGATTGAGGAAACTCTGGCCTAGTTCATATCTCTCGTGGAGCTATTATTTCAGATTGCAGTCTCAGGAATATATCCTGCATTGGTCACATTCAGGTTATAGCCACACTATATATTTAAAGGAATTTGTAACCAGTTACTAGCATGGTTGTCTCTAAACATGGCTGTTTCCAACATTCAGTTATGTTATTAATTGTTTCATCCTTGCCAATCGTCTAGGCTGGCATCATGTAACCATAGCCCATTATTTTTATTGCAATGACGACAAGATATTTTTCCTACAACTCTGCCTGTATAATCAATTTGACAAGTCCTCCTTCCTCTGAGCATTCTGCAGTAGGACATCCCAGAGTGCATTGCTAAACAAAGCTGCTGGTGCTGCTCTCTGTATGTCCTCTAGTCTTTCATTCCCCAGCACTATGGGATTGTTCTTCAGGTTTTCCCAGAAGCCATATGTACAGCTATGCTTCTGCAACAGAGTAGGAGCTGTGCTGTGGCTATGCAAACAATGGTTATAATGGCAGAGGGCCTGACTAGTAAGTGATTAAGGTGTCTGGGTCTCCACATTGTTACAAAATCACAGATGTAGCATAGCGTGAAGGGGGCTTCAGAAGGTTTTCTTCACAAACAAGAAGCATTGGACATTTTTCTGCTTTAATGAAAGGTTATACTCTGCAGGAAATGAGATCGCCAGAGGCTGTAGGAGGGGTGCATCAATTAATGGCACAATGTAGCTGCTGCTGCTTTGGGGTTTTTTATATGAAAAGACATACTCTGCAGCCAAAATTGCAGGGATCCTGAAATCAGAGAATCCATTTCCCCCAAGACACACATACACACACATTTTTTCCCCCTGTCTCCCAGTTAAGGTCGTTTTTTTTTTTTAATTAGTTAATTTGTTTTTGGGGGGAGGATTCTGCTCTGCATATTGCAATGAAATATTAGTCTCAGCAGTAGCATTAGAACAGCAAGTGCTGTTTCTCTCAACTCAGCTGCTGGGCCTGTCAGAGAAGAACAGATATATTGTGCAGTTCTCCCAATCTGCACATGACATCACAAAAGGCAGTCAGGACTGATTCTGTAACTTTTACTCATGCTGAGCAGTTACTCATATGAGTAATTTTAATAAGCATTATGTATCATGAGTAAGAGTTGCAGAATCTGACCCTTAGCAGATGCCCACTGAATATAATGAAGCCAGAATTTGTTTACAGGGAGAAGATTGCATTTTTTGTCATTGGCCCATAACTCATAAATAGGATTTTGCTCAAACATTCCACAAAATTCAGCTTTGGACAGTAACCAAACATGGAAAATTTCAGCCCAGCAAGCGAATGTTTTAGAAAGTTATGAGTGAGCATGTACTGGGTGTTATAAGGGAGACTGTTTTGCAACTTTATTTAGAGTGCATAACCCTATATCATTTCTCTTGGATAGATTAAATTAAAAAGCACACACTTTTATTACATTTTAGAGGTTGAACTAAAGCTAGGGAGAGCAAAGTAATTTTTACAGGCAAAAATTAGTGCAATTAGTAACTTTGTAGTCTGGTGCTGAGAAACCGGTGGTAAAGGGCATGTTATAAATAGTTAGAAAAAAAGAGAGATTATGATGGTTGCTGCATTCAGAAATTGTGTTGGTTACAGAGAAGGCACGGTAATTTTATTAACCACATAAGCATACAATTTGGACTGGAGTCATCTCAGGATTCTGGGAACACTGGTTTTTCTCTGTAGGCACATTCAGAGGCTTAACATAGGCACTGGCCTAATCATTCCCACTCTAGTCTTTGTACAGGGGGATTAGAATTCCACACATAGGCAGCAAAATTATAACTTTTTGTGCACAGATAATTAGTTATCAATCCTGGTCCTTTTTCACACATCCTTTTCATACAAATGTGTGGAATGTATGTGGTTAAAGTAGCATATAATATTTGTAACTTCTGAAAAGAAGCAATAATACCTTACCCTGGGTGTATAAGAAAAAAAAATCAAACTGTTTCATAGCATTTAAACTTGCTTAACAGACTAATATAGGTAACTAATGGACAGAAACAAGCACAACAGTGATAAAATCTTAATTGAATCAAGTGAAATTGGCTCACAGAAATTCACACACAAAAGAACAGATCTACTGCCCTGATATCTGCTGTAATTCATTAGTTATTTACTGCATTACACTACTATACCTGCTGGATGCTATTTAGAATAGGAAGCTACAGGAACATTCCACTAGTGGAAATTATCTTCTGTGTCCAGCAAATTGGATTGCAATATTTGGAAGAGTGCTATGTGAAAATATACCAATATTATTATTCATGTCCATCATTACATTGAAGAGCTGTTGAATATGAAATACAAAGGAAAGTATTTTCTGGACACTGGTCTCTGTAGACTGTATTGCATTTCACTGACTTTTGTATCAGTTTGTTTTTTCTCCCATGTGTTCTTGGAAGTAAAGTGGGCAAAAAGAATTAATACATTCTTTCACTGTCTCCATTTCAGGTAAGAATTCATCTGCAGTATTCCAGGAATATAAAACATTGTTATTTTCATATTGCATACAAGGATTTACTTTGTGTCTCTCAATTAATTGTCAAGAGTAACTTATACTTTTCTGTTGGGTTTAGTCAAAGCAAAAAGTGAAGGTTTTTGAAACTGCCACATTAGAAACATCCTTATGTAAGCACATGACCTTCCTTTTCATTATTGTTACAATTACAGTGTATTCCGACCTGTTTTTTAGTTGCTATTGTGACTGGTGACTAACATGAAAGTAGATGTATTGGTTTTTTTCCCTTCCCCCCTTCTATACTGTTTACAATGCTCTTCAAGAACATTTATGGCAAAATGTTGCTTTCAAACAGCATGTACTGTTTATACATTGTTTTTGCATCTGGGCAGTAATATCTTGCAGACTCACCAAGTGAACCATTATGCAAAGTCAAACTACAGGCTAGAAAATATGTACTCATATATTACCTGTTTGATCTGGCAGCCTTTTCACAAACAGAACTTTCATTTACCTCCGTGGCAGTAACATACACCTAAGGACATATGTGAATATCCTATGGTTTAAATTTGTGTGTGCAGCTCCCATTATTGTTAATAATGTAAAGAGTGTAAACCCTAGGGCAGTCAGATAATAAGATAAACAGTGGGCATCTATCCGATCATTCTAACCCATTTATCTTGGGTGTTTCAGAACAGGGGTGGGACACAATGTGTACAGTCCCGGGTTTACAATGGCTCCAGTGGCTCCATGGAGCCGGGCCCATGCTCAGAAGGGGCCCCAGCCTGCTCCGCTTGCACTGAGCCCCTAGACCCCACTGGCTCCCCCCACCCACCACTTGCTCCTATTGGCCTGCCCACCTGCTGCCTCCTTGTCCCCACCCCCCTGCTCCTCTCTGCCCCCTGGCTGGACCCCAGTGCACCTCTGGCTCCGGGCAGTTTCTGCTTCCCACCACCTGTGGGACCCCACCTGTCTCTCCAGAGCTGAGCCGCCTGGGGCTGGTGCAGAGGCCTGGCCAGTCTCAGCCAGGGTCGGTGGAGGAAGAGGACAATGCGGGGAGTTTGTCTGGGCCCCTCCAGGGGAAGTGCATCTTGAGGGAGCCGGCCCTGACCTGGCTGATCACACCACTCCCGAGGGACCGGAGTGATTCCCTGCTCCAGGACTAGCTCTGGCTGCGCTGCCAGCTCAGCCTGGCAGACTCAGTTGCCTTCCAGCAGGGCCAGAGAGTGCGGTCGTGAGGCAGGGCATGGGGGAGTGAGTTTCTTGTGCGGGGGGTAGAGGGGTGCTGGGCTGTGAGGGGGCAGGGAAGATGTGTATGTTGGGGCACTAGGGAGTGGGGGTTCTGTGGGGGGTGCTGGGCAGTTGTGATGGGGCTGTGGGCAGGGGGGTGCTGGGCAGGGTGCTATGCATTTGTGTGGAGGGGGTTCGGGGGGTGCTGGGGATAGGGAGTCAGGAGGATGTTGGGTGGGGGGGGCTGTGTGGCACAACATGGGCCCGCCCCCCGAGGGGAAGGGGCATGTTGGCAGCACAGGGCTGGGCGGGCCACTGTGTGTCTGGCAACTGCCGGTTTGTAAATAGTGCCCTTCCACTGGGCTGCCCCTGCCATGCCTCATTGCCCCTGCCTGGCCCCTCACTCTGGGGACTGACCCCCACACACCATGCTCCATTGCCTCCATGGGAGCCCACAAATAAGATTGGTGCCAGGCCCACAAAAGTTTAATCTGGCTCTGAATGTGTACTTTGAACGCTGGTCCTTGTGAGTAGGTCTCCAGTAACTGTCTGGTATCTTTCACTTGCACTATCCACAGAGAAGAAAACTAAAAAATGAGAAGGAAAAGACTCTTGGGGGGGGTCCTGCAGTCGCTTCAGCGGCTGATGACCTGCCCCCCCCCACCCACTATTCTGCGGGCTGGAATGGAGGAGGCGATGCTGTGAGTCTGGGGGTCCCAAGGCAGTGTCTGTCATGTCCCTAATTAGTCCCTCCAAACACGAGACCAGATGGGAGGGACAGTGTTTCCTGGGAGCCACACTCTCCTTTCAACACTCAGGAGCCCCCCAAATCGTAAGGAGCATGTGCTGAGGCTGGGCTGATGCAAGCGAAGGGCATTAGGCGGGGGGGGGGCGTTGTAAGGCTCTGGGGCAGCTTTACACCATGTGTGGGGTCGGAGCTCACACTCCGCGCAGGCTGTAGCTTCTCCTCCCCGTGCAGAGAGCCCCTGTGCATGAGGCAGACACACCCCATGCCTGCCTGCCTGCTGCAGTACCGCCCTCCGCCAGCCTGCGGAGGGAGGGTGCAGCCGGCCAGCTCCCGCGGGGACTGGGAAGGAGAGCGAGAGAGGCTGATTCCGAGACAAGACGAGACGCGAGCTGTCCGCGTGCGCTCCCCGGGGAAGCAGCTGGCGCGTGACCCTCGGAGGGAAGCGCTTGTCGGAGTTTGTGTGCAGCTGCAGCGGGGAGAAGAGCCTTGCTTGCTGCTCCGGGAGCCGTGTGTGTCTGCACAAGGTAGGCCAGGCATTGCACCGTGTGTCTCTCTGCACAGGGTACGCCAGGCTCTACTCTGGAGCCTGCTTCTCCACCTTGGTTTTGCCGGGCTCCCCGGTTAGCAGCATATCTTCTCCGTGCATGGTGGGAGGGGGTCAGGAGGCTGCTTCGCTGGGGAGGGCTGGCAAACGGCTCGGCCTGCAAACCCTGCTCAGTCTGTGTGCCCGCTCTAGCGCTCAGTATGGCACATTACATACGGACACGTTTGTATTTTAACACGCATTTTTAGTAATAATTGATTCCCCTTATTTAGCCTACTAGCGTATTCACCCAGTGGTATCCAGAATATTACAGCTTACCACAGCATTACTACCTGTTTGGGGACTATTTATGTACCATAGTTGCAGTATTTTTAAAGAAGAGCTATTCTTGTCCTGTTGCATACATGCCAGTTATCCCTGTTTTATTTTACTTTTTCACAGAGCTGTTTATTTTTTTTCCCGACTTTATCCTTGCAAAAATTCCCCATTGTAACACTAAAAGGTCTTTCCCTGTTTTTCTCTGTAAATGCCCCCAATTGACAGCTTTTGAATGTTGGCAAATATGTTGTATTTAGACCAGGGCTTTACTGTAGAATACAATAACCTTCCTTTACTATATACAGCAGTGTTTTTACAAGGGCTGCCTGTTACTGGAGAAGGCGGTGTGGGTGTTAGTTATATACGGATGTAAAGTTCATAAACGTCCAATGGAAATTAAAGGCCTGTTGTGGGGTGGGGTTGAATTTGTCAGTGATCAGAGAGTGGTAATTTGCTCTTTGTAAAACCATATTTCTGATGACAGTTTCCTCACAAGGAGCTTTTTGCCTGTTTCTAAGCGGAGGATGAGATGTTACCAGACTGTTTTGATTGCAGATTGTTGATGTAATGACCCTAAAATGTACTAGTCAGCAGATTTTCTTCTCAACAGCCTACATGCTGCTTTGTCCAAATAGCCAAAGGAATACAGTATGTGAGAATCAAACAGATGGAGGGGGGAAAATTCCCATTGACACATTGGTTTATTGCCAAGATTGAGCTGTGACACGTTGCCTTGCACAAGGGGGAAGAGCGTTGTATGCACAGTGAAATGATTAAACTCATGCTCTGTTAATGTACCAAACTGTCACAAAAAGAAAATGTTACTAAACAGTTCAGATTTTGATGTACACAGAATAAGAAGATTTTTTTTAAATGAAAAAGGATGGATAGAATTACAGACAATAATGAGCAGATATAATTCAGTTTAATCCAAGTAATGCAATAGCTGGAATCAAATTGAAAAGCACACTTAAAAGTTGTGATCTACTTTTTGAAGGAAAGATAACAATGCAGAGAGGGGGTAGTTAGGGGCTGTGTGTGGGCAGGGGGGGTAGCTCAGGGTGCAGGAAGAGGGGTAGCTAGGGGCTGTGTGTGGCCCAGGAGTAGCTCAGGGTGCAGGGAGAGGTATCTAGGGGCTGTGTGCAGGCAGAGGGGTAGCTCAGGGTGCAGGGAGAGGGGTAGATAGGGACGGTGTGCGGGCAGGGGGGTAGCTCTGGCCAGGTGCATGGAGAGATGTAGGTAGGGGCTGTGTGCCAGGAGGGCTCCCCTATGGTCTCTGTTTCTTGAGGGCTCTGCCAGCCATGGAGCCGGGTCCCACACCCTTGCGGCTCTTACTGGCTGCGTGAGCAAAGGGGGCTCGGAGCTGAGAAGCAGCCTCAACCCCAAATCAGTGTCAGGTTTTGAAAATGTTGTCTGTAACTTCCCTAGGAGAGTTTTCAAAGCTGCCTAAAGGATTTGGACTCGCAGTTCCCATGAGAATAAATGGGAAATTGGCATCTAAATCCCTCAGGTGTCTGATAATCTCCATCCCCTGTGTCTTGCTTTCCAGGTCTATAAAATGGAATACGTAACTCAGAGGTGTTTTAAGGATTTTGTACCTAATGTTTATGAAGCGTTTTGAATGAATAAAGAACCACATGGTGTAAGTGCAAACCGTTGTCACTTTCATTACTCTAGTACAGAGGGGGCTTCCAGCTATGGAAGAAGATGAGGGAAGTTGCTCTGTGTATTTCACCTCTGCCTTCTAAATGTGCACAGAACAAGGACACTGCCTGCCCAGTGTCCTTTCAGCCTATGCTGGAAGAACCTGCCAAAATTCACATTAAACAAATATTTGTCAGTAAATTTGTCAAACTCAGCTAACCCCCTTGTGAACATTTGGAAGCTTGTTCTGCGCTGTTCCAAATCTGTGCATCTTGGGTATCAGCTTTGTCAGTTTCACTTGGGAGAACAGTTTGAGACCGGATGAGAGCTAGGGTAGAGCAGGAACTAGGGGTGAAATCCTGGCCCCATTAAAGTCAATGAAAAAACTCCTGTTAATTTCACTGGGGCCAGGAAGTAGCTTAGCTCATGGGCAGGGGGAATCTGTTTTAAGTTTAGAAGCAGTATGAAAAAAAGGCAGGAAGTTGAGAGGGGGAGACACACTCGCATATCAGGAGGAAATCTGATCATGTATAATGAGGCGCATGTTCCTAATCTGGGGTTGCTGGGCAACGAATATAGCTGATGGGCCAAATTCAGCCCTAGCAGAAACAGGTGCAATTCCACTACTTCAGTGAAGCTGCCCCTGATACCAGGCCTGAAATGTCACTTTCTCTGTTTTAGAAGCTATATTTGTGTGGCCCTTATACACTTTTGGAACTGGCACGCTACTGCAACTAGTGAGCAGGCACAATACCACCCTGAGAGGTGTCCCTGCACTCCCATGAGGGATCCCAGGTCTCACTCTGTCATTCTAGAGCAGGGGTGGGCAAACTTTTTGGCCTAAGGGCCACATCTGGGTATGGAAATTGTATGGCAGGCCATGAACGCTTATGAAATTGGGGGTGGGGTGCGGGAGGGTGTGAGGGCTCCGGCTTGGCGTGCAGGCTCTGGGGTGGGGCCAGAAATGGGGAGTTCAGGGTGTGCGAGGGAGCTCCAGGCTGAGGCAGAGGGTTGGGGTATGGGGGGGGAGGGCTCAGGCTGGGGGTGCGAGGTCTGGGGTGGGGCTGGGGATAATGGATTGGAGAGTGCAGGGGGTGTTCCAGGCTGGGACAGAGGGGTTCAGAAGGTGGGAGGGGGATGAGAGCTAGGGTTGGGGCATGGGAGGGTATCAGAGGTGCAGGCTCCTGGTGGCACTTACCTCAAGCAGCTCCCAGAAGTAGCGACATGTCCCCCCCTCTGGCTCCTACGTGGAGGCGTGGCCTGGTGCTTCTGTGTGCCGTCTGCTCCGCAAACACCACCCCTGCAGCTCCTATTGGCTGCAGTTCCTGGCCAATGGGAGCTGCAGGGGCGGCGCTTGGGACGGGAGCAGCGCATAGGACCCCGTGGCTGCCCCTACACATATGAGACAGAGGAGGGATATGCCACTGCTTCCGGGAGCTGTGCAGAGCCATGGCATGCATGGAGAGGGGCAAGCCCCCGATTCCGCTCCCCGGCGGGAGCTCGAGGGCTGGATTAAAACATCTGAAGGGCCGGATGCGGCCCCCAGGCCATAGTTTGCCCACTCCTGTTCTAGAGACGCAAGCAGGGGCTGAGCACCTCACATTGCTCAGAAGTGTGACTGACTTATTGAGGACTGGAGTCAGTGGGCTTTGAAAAGAGTCTTCTGATATGGGACTTTAAGAGTGTGTATGGGGTGTGAGGGGCGTAAAGCCAGGAAAATGTGAAAGATCATCAGGGTATCATCAAGGGTGTGAAAACCTGCCTGGTGCGTTGCTTCTGCACCTAAGAGTGAAATCCACAGCTATCCCAACATGGAGCTGAATTATTAATAACAATGTATCTGTTTGAGTTCTGCTGAATCATCATTAATAGTCTCTCGAGGAAGATCTGCATGGAAATCTCCACCCGTCGCTGTGGGTGGAACCTGAGCCTCGGTAAACATGCTTCCCTTGTTCCACTATTTTATTTCTTAATAGGTTGCTCTGGTGGGTAACACAGCTATGAATGATTCAGTGCTCAGCCGTCCACAATTTCTCTAGAATTGATGTAAATAGATATATGAAGTTAGTAAGAAAAGAGCCCACATGTAGCTTCTCTTTTTGATGTGCACATGACTTCCATTATTATTTGCTTTAGTAGCAGTTATATGTATAGAAAGCCTCTGTGAAACACTTGTTCTTACTGTTACTTAGGAATTATAGGAAAAGGATTAACTAATTTTAATATAAACATGTGATGTTATTGCATCATGTTGCTGAATTTTTGCTTTCTGCATTGCTGTGTTAGTAGTGGGTACAGAAAGATCCAATTCCTACTTGTTACCTTTAAAATGTTAACAATCATTTACCAACAATCATTTACCAATCAAAAACTGATGAAGTGTCATCTTTTTATTTCATTTTAGTAGTCCCATGAAATGAGCTGTAATAAACTAGTTGTGGAATATTTTGAACTGAGATACATACAGTATAGCTTGCAATGGAAGTAGATCAGTTGTAATTTTAGCCAGTCACTGACCTATGTAAAAGCAGATGGTGAAATGCTTTAGTGTATCAGATCAGGAAGATTTGTAGCAGGTTGATTCCTAGTCCCAAGAGTGATGGATCATATTGTATCTGCTTTTGTATAACTTTGGAACCAAGTGCCACCTTGTGTCCTTTTCTAGCCCCACTGTTTGCATGGGCTTGGATTGCTTTGAATTAATGCAGTTAATAACAGAGAGAATGATTCAGCGTTGACAATGGCCAGTTTTTCAGGAAGTGTCCCCGCGTTGTGGCAGGGAATTGTAAGGAAGTTGAGAGCATAGGAGTTAAATGGGGAGAGTGACCATGTCATAGTGATGAATTAAATTAACAACAGATACTTTGTTAAAGAGTGCTCTGATTTTTGACCTATTCCAATTGTTGATGACTAAATTATTGTCTACATTTGTCTGCACTTTTAAAATGAATGAAAATATAGCAGGATTCTCTGTACTTTCCAAAAATCAGTGTCTCTTTCTCTCTCTCTCTCCTCTCTTCTATTTTCATTTGGAAAGAGACTTCTTAATTTCAGGCTGGATTGTGACATGCCTAATACATTCTAGATAAAATGTTGTCTATTCAGGACAGTTATACCAGTGTAAGTTAATGTGTGAATTTAAACAACTGTAGTTATTGGTATCACTCCTTGTTTGGGCACTCTTATTGCAGTAGGAGATGATCTTTTTGGGGTTTAGCATATGCCACTTTGGAAGGAATCTGCGCTAACTGAAAAATGCCATCAGAGTATCCACACAGGGAGTAAATACTAAGGCTAGGTCTACACTACTGGGGGGGGGGGGAATGTCGACCTAAGATACGCAACTTCAGCTACGTGAATAGCGTAGCTGAAGTTGCGTATTTTAGGTCGACTTACCTGGCTGTGAGGACGGCAGCGAGTTGACCGCTGCCGCGCCTGCCGTCGACTCCACTTCCGCCTCTTGCCACGGTGGATTTCCGGAGTCGATGGCAGAGCCATCGGGGATCGATTTTATCGCTTCTTCACTAGACGCGATAAGTCGATCCCCAATAGATCGATTGCTATCCGGCAGGTAGTGAAGACGTGCCCTAAGTTATATTGGTATATCAATTTAACTATATCAGTGTAATTATACTGGTATAATTGGTAACTGGTAAAACTTTCCCATGTAGACAAGCCCTAAAGGATGATGCATCAGGAGCAATTGTCACAGGCCCAAGGACTCCCTCAGGCAGATTGGTAATAGAAATCTGTCACACAATTGTGCCTGGCTGAGCTTCCCAAGGGTAGTTTGGCTTCACACTGCTCCTTACACAGGTCAATTGTTATGTGCCACACTTTGGACCTTTATATTAATTTTAAGGGTGTTTTAAATGTTTCCTCCTGAAGGTTATGTTGTGTGTATCAGTGAGAGAGTTACAATTTCAATCTTTTGCAGCCTGAGAGCTGATGTGGAAAGTATTATGGGACTGACAGTTATTTTCCTCTAGAATAATTACCTTCTGTGAAATTTCTGATGGACATAATTGAAGAGCCCTACTGTTGTTTCAGAATATCAACAATTTGTGTAAGAAGCGACAGAGTCCTGTGGCACCTTATAGACTAACAGACGTATTGAAGCATAAGCTTTCATGGGTGAATACCCACTTCATCAGATGTTTATTTGTGTAAGCTTATTATGAAGAGGAGCAGGCACTGTGATGATGGGTGCTGCATTTTTTAAGAACACTAAAGTTTAAAAAAGGGGGAGGAGGGCTTGAAATAAGTTTGTTCTTCATGAAAAACACCCCTGGTTGTACAGAAAGCAGGCTAAATTAAGAGCAATGAAGGGAGATGATCTGCCCTTACCCCAAATCCATTGTCAGACTGTGGACAGAAGTAGATCACTGTGTATTCCAGCTCTGCATGTGCTGTTGTGATGTCAGTTCCTGTATTCTGCAGAACTGTGTAAGTAATGAAACTTTGAAACACCAGAGTTTTCCTACTTAGAAGGTAATAAAAATTAACACTAGATTAGATTCATGTTGTAGTCCTCACCTTAGAAAAGACATAGTTCCTGTTATGGAGACAAGGCAGAGGAAATTAAATAACTGGAATAATAAAAAATTTTAGTCAGGTGTGGCCAAAATGCATCTCACAGGCCCAGTGTGACACACAGAGTTCTATGATCTATCCTGCCGTCATCCCATCTTTCACATGGGAGTGGAGTCCATGCCAATATGTGATGCTCCATCTTAATCAGAGTGGAGGCTGTTCGGATAAAGATGGCCTATTACATGCTGACACCTGTAGTGGGGTTACACCTGCTCCCAGGAGACTAAGGGTGGTCTGCAGACTATGCCATTTTATGTAAGCTAGCTATACCCCTTGGGATGCTGATAAGTATTCAGGAAGGTTCCTTGGTTTTGCAAAGTTTTTGGACCATTGAGTTTAGTTATGAGGAAAGATCATGGAACTACTAGGGAGAGAAGAAAAATGACTTCATAGTGATCTTCCAGCAGGGTGTCATTTTGTTTTGTTTTTTCTTTAGCTATGAAATGGCTTGATAATTGTCTCCCAGGCCTATTTATTACAAAAGAATACAAATACAAATTCCCAGGGGCAGGAATTAGGGAATATGAGCTAGATGCTCATGGTTTTGTCACATAATGAACAAATGGAGTAGGTTGCTGAAGCAGGGAGTTGATAGAACTAGCTCAATTTATTATTTATGGTTGAAGTGCCTATTGATGTATAGTGTCTAAACTATAGATAGATAGGTCTGGAGCCTCTGGAACAGCCATCCAATAGGAGTGGGGTGGGGGCAAGAGATTTACTTAATTTTAATCTGGATCTTGATACATTTATGAAGGTGATTATGTGACAGGGTTGCCTGCAATAGGAAGGGCATGGACTCAGTGATGCAGGAAGTCCCTTCCCATCCTCTGTCTCTGTGATAAAATGGACAAACTACCTACAGTGGCTAACAAAGAGAGATTGCTAAAATATACCATTTTATCTACAAACCTCTGAGCTCTGGGGAGAAAACAGAGATTGGCCTTTAAAAGCCATTGGATTAGGAAAGCTTTTTGGGTGGATAGAGGGGAAAAAGTTTGACTGTTTTGATTCAACACAGGGCCTGTCTTTGCCAGATAGAGACATTTAGTATGTATGAACTAATGTCATCCGAGATCCTGGGCCTATTCCATAGACCACTGAAATCTGCAGGAACCTTTCTGTTGCCTTCAATGAGTTTTGGATAAGGCTCTTTGTCACCAGATGGGAATGAACAAAATCAAGAGTGGAAAGAAAAAATAATGTAAATAAATGTTCTTTCCTGAAGGCTGCCAATTCCAGGCTCTGGTGGATCATCCAAAGAGAAGGGCCTAGCACTGAGCAAGCCAGCCAGTGCTCCTGGAGAGTTCAGTTACCGGCACTGACAGCAAGAGCATCCCTGTTGGGAAGGGGGTCAGAGTGAGATTTGAAGCCAGAGAAGAGCACTGAAGTGTGACTTTCCTGTGCATTCCCTCCTCCCCCCCATCTGGACTCCTTTAATTCACTTTAATGGCTAGAGCAGCAGCAACTGTCTGGCAATCTCATTTGTCCTCCCTTCAGAAGACACATATGGCACCCTGGGTGCACACACACACTGTGGACTGACTTTGGACTGACTAGCCCGTGTGAGCTGGGGGCCAAGTAATATAAAACCTTCCTGGCACAGAAAGTGTTTCCTGGTTTCACCTTCCCCATCCACTCCCAGTAATATTTCGTAGCCCCTTTCCCTGGAGTCTGTTAATCCTATTCTTTGTTTTCATTTGTAAGTGATCCCCTGATGGAAAAGCTGCTTTTGGAAAACAGAGGGCCTGATCCTGCAGTCCTTGGATTGGGCAAAATACACAGAGTTATGGGGAAGTCAATGTGAGTTTTGCCTGAGTAAAAACTGTAGTATCGGGCCCAAAGTTTTTAAACAAGTAAGAGCAGATATGTTCAAAGAGGGAAGTTGATAAATGGAGCCTGGAATGCTACTAAAGGTAAACTAGAGTAATCCAATGTTGCAGTCCCTAATATTTTATATTAAATTCCTATTCTATTCTGAGCCAATTTTTCTCTATCCTGTGACAATTTTAAACTTGTGTATCTAAATTGGGAGCCCAAATCCTGCATTTGGGTGTTGAGAGGCATACTTAGGTGCCCAGATACCCGTTTTACACACCCGTGTACAGATTATTGACTAATTTTTGCTAATGTTGGTCAGTATAAATTTTGGCTTCAAGTCTTTTTTTTTTTTTTTTTTTTTAAGAACAGGACCTTTGATTTTCTTTAATTTCATTCTTTTTCTCTCCCAGGTTCTTCCTTCATTTCAAATGTGTATTGTAATACTGGCTGCTTTAATCATTGCACGAATTAAACCAACCTCCCACAAACATGGCGGACGAGGACCTTATCTTTTGTATGGAAGGTATTGATAATGCCAGGTCAACTAAAGCAGTCTCTGGAAATTATCCTGATGCTGATAGTGAGGATGAGGATAGTTATTACATCTGCCCGATAACAGATGACCCAGTATCTAACAAGGTTGCAAACAACAAAGTCGCCAACTATTACAGCAACTTAGCAAAAGATGAACATTACAGATCTAGCTCTTCTCCTAGAAACTCATTCAATTTTAAGGTAAGCATTGAGCTCAAGCCTAAATGGGCTTCTAATCTCATTTATCTCTCTAGCTGCTTAATTTCTTGTAAATTTCCATGAAAATTACAGCTTTTATTTTTCCAGACTTGTAGTTAAATCTATTAGACCAATAACCTGATCCTGCCATTGATTCCCTTACACAACTCCACTTGAATTCAGTGGGAACTCCATACATGGAACTCTAGCAGGCTCGAGTCTAAGACTGCACAGCTGTTGTAGTTCAGTTGCTTTAAAAAACCCAAATAAATGGATTTTCAGTTTTAAAAGATGATGATTGTTGTAACTCTAATGCAATATTATTAATGTCAAAATTTGGGCTATGAGAGTAGACGTTCTTTCATGAATGATATCAAGCAAAGCAATGTGCCTGAATTGAGTATCTTTAATTGAACAAAACCAGTCATAATTTTTGAGACAACAAAAATGAACATCATTTACAGGTTGGGTTGAGATGTGTTTCTTGTGGTGGGCTCTTTACATTTTGATAACAGAGCTCTGATGTTAAATTTCACAGTAAATTCTACCACCAGCCCCAGACAGTGTGCTCTAGTGGTATCCAACCATTTCAGCCTGAGGGCCAAACATATTACATTGCCCCAAGGTCAAAGTGAGTGCATATTGTGGGGCAGATCCTCTGCCCCATTCTGCTCCCTTTGCACCAATCAGACAATGCAAAGGGAACAAAACCCACCTGTAAGTCTCCTACTGGAGACCCCTCTAATTTGGAGGATCCCTAGCATATGTAGAGTCTGCATAGCTGCCCTCCTGATTGCCCTTGGTATGTGAGGGGAAGTGTCACAGTTTAGAGCAGGGGTCGGCAACCTACGGCACGCCAGCCGGAACCCCAGGCTGGCAGCGGGCTGAGAGCCCAGCTGGCAGGAACCGGTGGCTGAAACCCCAGACGGGGGCTGGCGGAGATGCTCAGCCCATCCCTGAAATCCCAGAGCTGGGCGGGCTGACCTGCTCAGGCCGCTGCCACTCTGGGGTTCCGGCTGCTGGCCCCTTGCCAGCCAGGGTCCCCGCTGCAGTCCCACTCACCTTGCTTCTGGTTGGAGTTCCAGCACAGGCCCCCTGCCAGACAGGGTCCAGGCCTCCGGCTCTGCTCAGCCCTACTAGCCGCCAGCTCCACTCACCTCAGCTGCCGATCTGGGGTTCCAGCCATTGACCTCCTGCCAGCCAGTTATCAACTTATAACTCAGAAGCCTGTGTGCAGCTTAAAGTATCTAAATACGTGCCACCAGACATTGGAAAACTCAGCAAGGAAAAGAAGGGCAAGGATCACACTAAACTAGTAAGATTGTTCACAAGTGTTAGCGAACACCTTCTAAGACCTTGGGTTCACTAGGAAAAAGGGTGTATTTTTAACACACAATTGCTAACAGGTGAGTAACAGGGTGGTTTGTCCCTACGTGGTAGAGACCTGGAGCCAGTCTACCCTAATTGCTAAGGAGGCACACCTGAGCTGGGATTAGCTGATTCCCCTATAAAGAGCAGCAGGAAGCTGGGAGGAGGGGAAAATGTTCAGGGAGACAACACTGGAATACAGAGGCTACTGGGAGCAAGTATGCTACAAGAGCGGACCCTGGGACTGGAGAATGAGACTACAGACAAGTGAGATTACAGGCAGGAAAGGCCTGAGAGTGACCAATAAGAGGGTAGACAAATGGACTTGAGGAGACTTTTTATTTCGAACTGTTTTGTCAATAAAACCAGACCCCAAGGGAGAGGCGGTACTGGACAGAAAGCCTGGATGTGGAGTCTATTCGAGAAACCCCTTGAAAGGGGAACAGAAGCAAGGTGCCTACCGATTGACCTTGGGCCATGAAAGGGTGCTTGAGAGGCTGGCACCCAATGACAACGTGTTAAAATCCTAGTGTAGATGTTTTTAACATGTTAGCTATTTGACATAATCGCTCAGCTCACCAACACGGTTAACCTCAACCAGCTACAACTGCCTTGTCTACACTAGTATTTTAACATGTGTTAATGTTAAAAATATACTTTTTTTCTAGTGAAGACAAGACCTAAAAGTCTAGTGTGGACAATGCAGCTTAGAATTTAAAGTGTGTTAAACTGGTTGAGTTGAAGCCTAGGAGCGAGCAGAGGTTAAACACTGCCTTGTCTACGGTAGATTTTTAGAACATACAGTCATAGAAATCTAGGGCTGAAAGGGACCTTAAGAGTCCATTACATCCAGCCCCCTTTGCTGAGACAGGACCAACTAAACCTAGACCATCCCTGACAGGTGGCCTGTTCTTAAAAACCTCCAATGATGGGGATTCCACAACCTCCTTTGGAAGCCTATTCCAGAGCTTAATTACACTTATAGTTAGAATGTTTTTCCTATATCTAATCTAAATTTCCCTTGCTGCAGGTTAAGTCCACTACTTCTTTCCCTTCCTTCAGTGGACATGGAGAACAATTGAGAACTGTCCTCTGTATAACAACCCTTAACATAGTTAAAGATTTGTCAGATCTCCCCCTCAGTTTTCTTTTCTCAAGACTGAACTTGCCCAGTTTTTTTTAAACTTTCCTCCTAGTTCAGGTTTTCTAAACATTGAATCATTTTTGTTGCTCTCCTTTGGATTATCTCTAGTTTATCGACAACTTTCCTAAAGTGTGGTGCCTAGAATAGGAGAGAGTACTCCAGCTGAGGCCTCACAAGTACCAAATAGAGAGGGACAATCACCTCCTATGTCTTGCATACAATACTCCTGTTAATAAACCCCAGAATGTTATTAGCCCTTTTTTGCAACTGCATCACATTAATTCCTGTTTCAGAGTAGCAGCCGTGTTAGTCTGTATCCGCAAAAAGAAGAACAGGAGTACTTGTGGCACCTTAGAGACTAACACATTTATTAGAGCATAAGCTTTCGTGGACTACAAATTTCCTGTTGAAATTTGTGATCCACCATGACTGTACAACCACCTAGCCAGTTATTCCCCATTTTGTAATTGCGCATTTCATTTTTCTTTCCTGGGGGTGGTACTTGCCTTTAATGATTTTCATCTTATCTTGTTGTTTTCAGTTCATTTTTCCAATTTGTCAAGATCATTTTGAATTCTGATTCTGTCCTCCAAAGTGCTTGCAACCCCTCCCAGCTTAGTGTCATTCAGAAATTTTATAAGCATACTCTCCTCTACATTATTCAAATCATTAATGAAAATATTGAATAGCACCTGACTCAGGACCTTATTAGACATACCCTTCCAGTTTGACAGCAAACCATTGATAACTGCTCTTTGAATATGGTCTTTCAACCACTTGTGTGCTCACTTTATAATAATTTAATCCAGACCACATTTCCCTCATTTTCTCATGTAAATGTCACGTGTAACTGTCAAACACCTTAATAAAATCAAGATAGATCACATCTACTGCTTCCCCCCTTCCACTTGTTAGTTAGCCCATGTCCGCCAACATATCCTAACCACACACCTTTAAATCGTAGTTTAGAAAAAGCCTTCGGTACTCAGTTTAGCCCAGTGGTAGCAAATTGCAATGACTAGTGCTTCAATGAGACAGAATTAGCATAAAATCCATGTAGTGAGGGACCCATTTGTTCAGTGCCAAGTGGTTAAGTGGTGTTTAACCAGGTATTTAATAGGTGAGAGACTTTTAGTTCATATCTGTCAATGAAGAAGTTGCCAAGTGAAGATGAAATGAAATGAGTATAAACTTTATTCAGCACATTTTATAAGTCTCTTCACACTATTTTTAATGGCCTCTTCATCCAGATATTAGGCTGGTGTCCAGTTTAAAAGATTCTACTTGTACTACAGATGGGCTCAGGAATCAGTGTTCAGGTCCACATCCAGAGTAAAATTTGTATGGGATTAGGGCTTGGGTTTTAGGTTTGACAGTGCTGAAATCTCACAGTCTGTTTATGAAAGGTTTCAATCCAAAATGGCAGAAATCGTGCCAGATCAGCTATTATTTTATGCTTCTCACCCCCTGAGGCTGAAATCTTGTGAAATGGCAATTCTTGTAAGAGTTTGGCCTCATCTGAAAAAGAAACTGGATCTGACCTGAAACTAAAACCAGAAGAACAGGTTCAGATTCAAATTGAATGCCCTGATCCCCAAAAATTGAAGGGGGTTGAATTTGAGTTTCTACTTTTACCCATCTTCACTGTATGTATTAAGCATTAAACACCGTATGCAGTAATACAAAATATTCTCTACAGGTAAGGAAGTCAGCTGAAGTTGCTATAGGAACCATAACTTTGAACTTCCTGATTTTTATGCGTTTAAAATGCTAGCTGTAATTTTGCATTAATATATTTTTTACATGTGATAAATCACTGGGTGGTGAAAACAGGACCGTTCAACAAAGCATGTTTTTTTTTTTAAATTTTATTTTGCAATAATATTATCCTTGGGATTTGAAGATAGTTTAATAAACTTGTGGTCAAATAGATATTTACTAAACTATAAGTGATCCTGAGCATGAAAATGTGAAATATATGGGTTAGCTAGTACAAAGAAAGGAAAAAACTGCTTCGTACATTTAGTTGATAGGCTAGCTAGGTATGCAGAGTTGTCCTTCCCAACCTGCTCTAAAACAAATTCCACACACTGTATGGAGTCAAAAACTGACCCGCTTTCTGGGTGTTTAGCTTTATTAGCAAAGTAATTAACAATAATGATGATAATATCAAATTCAGCTCCCCGGGCTTGGTTCCCCCTAGATTCCTACCCCAAAACTGCTCACCGTACACCCTCATGCTCTTTCAATCGAGCCACTCCCAAATCCTGTATAGTTACATGGGCTAACAAATCATCTGTCTCCAGGAATAAGCAGAAACCACTAGCAGATTCAACATCCCAGCAGATTCAACTTTTGCTAATAGTGCGAGTTGTTTCAGGCAAAAGATTATATGTAAAATTCCATTCTGAGGATTTAATCTTTCAAGGAGCTGAATGCCTCCATTGAAGTTCTTACAAGGTGAGGTCACTTAGCACCTCACAAGAGTTACCTACCATCTTCCAGGATCAGGTTCTGAATCTTTAAATCTAGCCTATAAAACAATTGGTTTAGTAACAGAAAATAGCAATATTAGTGGGCTGCATGGATCAAGTATTGAAGGTCAAACTGAGTAGGCATTGTAGAATTCTTGGTGCAAATTGTTTTTCAATGGACATTGTTTTGTGACTTTTTAAATTTGCAGTCAGCAACGAACAAAAAAAGTATGCTCTGGCCTTGTGTAACTAGTAGAGCCCTGCAAATCTCTGGGTATCGACAAATATCTGCAGACGATGTTTGTGGATCTGATCCAGATACAAATTTTGTATCTGTGCAGAGCTCTAATAATTAGCTAACAGGGTCTGTATGTACAAATATGCTATGCCTCTGAACATGGTAGACATGTTGACTTTCCCACCACAGTTGATTAACTATAATGTATTTGACATTCTAATACTGTAGAAATTTTTTCAAGCTATTATCTATTTTAATTCTAGATAGATATCAGTTACTGCAAAAATGGCAATAGAATCATGTGCCATTTAGTGATTGAGGAGGGTGAGGGAATTTTAATGCAGCTGTTGTCTGCATGTATATACAATATATCGAGCCAAATTCTGTTATGATTTTGAGTTTGGTCCTGCAAAGCAACATCAACTCCCATTGGACCTGATTCTGTTTCCACCAAAGTCAGTGGCAGATTCTCATTGACTTCAAATTAATGTAGTTCTTCTCAGGATCAGACCCCTCAATCTTTCTACCAAATAATGTCTCCAGTGCTTTAACCTGTACTTACATATGCAGTTCCATTGACTTGAACAGATTTGTGCACAGATACTCTAAAGTTTTATTTTACTCTGAAATGCACATTTTGAAAAACAGCTTATGGGTATGTCTACATTGCAGTTGAAAACCCGTGACTAGCTCATGCCAGCTGATTCGGACTCTGGAGTTTGGGCTAAGGAGCTGTTTAATTGTGGTGTAGACGGTTCAGCTCAGGCTAGAGCCTGGGCTCTAGGACCCTGCAAGGTGGGAGGGTCACAGAGATGGGCTCCAGCCTGAGCCAGAATGTTTACATCACAATTAAACAGCCCATTAGCCTGAGCCCTGCCTCAGCTGGCACAAGCCAGCTGTGGGTGTCTAATTGCAGCGTAGATCTATCCTAAGTGGGAAAGGGACATTTTTCATTTAGCAAAAAAGGAAGCACTTAACTGATCATTTGTCTTATGTACATTTTCCTATTTTAATGGTTCTCGTGTATTCTTTAGAATGACACACAGCAACAATCTAAGCATGGCTCTGTGGATGACCATAGTAGAGTAGGTTAAAATGGAACCTTTCATAGTGAATGCTTTAAGACTTTTTTTAAAAAATGGTATTTTGATTCATTATTTTATTCTTTAGAAGAACTGATGCAGCTCCAACCATAGAAATCACTGAAGCAGAACATCACCTTGAAGAATTTTTTGTTATTTGTAATTTATCTTTTTGTTCACCATCATAAATAGGCATTTACTTTTAAAAATGTGTACATAGTTGTTTTTTTTCACATTATTTCCTGTTGTTAACAAGAACAAAGGGGATGTTAGAGTATTTTTATTTCATTTATATTTTCTAACTTGTCACCCTTGTGTAATCTAAAACAGAAGAAATGTGATGCTTGCATAATTGGTGTTCTTAATGCTGATTCTCTGTTTTGAAAACCAGAAGACAAGTGTAGGGCTCAAACCTATGAGGTGCTGAGCATCTTCAACGCCCATTAATTTCATTCAGTATCTTTCAGGGGCTCTTAGCACCTTCCAGAGTGAAATCCATAGACAGGGATATAAAGCCACTCTCCAAACACCACAAAAAGGCCAGTTTCCTTCAGACACCCCATGACCACATGATTCCTTGGAAATTATCCAGTATATTTCAGTGGAGCATAAGGGCGTGTCCCTGTTTTTATTCAACCTGTTCCTATACATAGCTTACAAATGGAGCCTCCCATGTAGCTCATCAGATCATGTGACATCAAGCAGCCCATATTGTCATGTGACAAACAGGGACTATTTTCTAACTGATTTCATTTAATGTGTTTTATGTATGGCTGGGTTTTATGAGTGGAGAAGGTGGGTCTTTTGATTTGCTTTTAGAATATGCTGCTTTGCCAATGGAATAGAATGGACCTACTTGTTGAAAATGTAAATTATTTTATAAAGGTCCCTACTATTATACAATATAAAGGTTTGCAAAGTAATTTCAGTGCTGATAGATATTTGTATTGTAATTGTTTAGCTTTTGATGATATTTAATTTCTAAAAAAAAATAAAACTATTTTTAAATATTGCAAATTCAGTCACAGAAGTGATAAACAGTGCTCCAGAAATCAGTATTTTCTGCCACAGATTCAGATAGGAGCTGGCACAAAGTACCCAGGCTGTCAAGGGTGCTGAGTGACTCTGACAAGGTGCTGAGCACTCTACTCATTCACATGAGTAGTGATTGAAGGTACTTGGCGTCTTGCAGAATGCATTTAACACCGTGGAGGATTGGACCTCCGGGGCTCTGGGCATAGTGTAATGTGAAAATAGGGGGACAGGATAAGTGTTAAGAGAAAAGCATTTAGAGTGGCTTGTGGAAACAACTATTGAATTTTCAACATATGCATTTTCAGAGTTACTGTGACTTGATGAAGACTGAAATAGCTACTTGTCTGGAACTATAATAATCATCCATTTTCCTTACATAACTACTTTCTTCTGCTTTTGCATCTTGTGGTGAGCTCAGTTTTGAGGCCTTGGTTTTTGCAAAGCTTTTTTTTACCTTGATATTATTGTGCAAAGCAGGCTTGTTCTTTACTTGCACTGATAGGACATGTTACTTCCAATTAAAATGTAATTCTCTTCAAGTAAATTTCTCGAACATTAACATTGGCTACTAAATGTGATTGTAGATAGCTGTTCTAAACACTGAAGATTATAAAATTACTGCAATTTATGCAAGTTATGCTCAGTTCATACCTGTGTGTATTAGACCAAATTCTCACTTGGATTTACTGTGGTATAAATCAAATCAGAATCTGGTGCTTTACATTTCTGTGCTTTTTATCATTGCACTTGAAACTGTAAAATGTTGAATGGTGTTTTGCACCCAACCAATATCAATTTGAGCAGTGGTCTCCAAGCAGTGGGGTGTGCCCTCCTAGAGGAACATTTGGGAGGCGTGGCGAGGCCACGGCCAGCCCCCATGGCGGGTGGGGAGGAAGCATCACTCAGCCCCACTCTTCCCCCAGCTCCACTCTGGCCCAGCCGCAGCTTGGGCCCCTACTATGGCCCCACTCCCAGCCACGGCTGCAGTTCCCGGGGAGAGGGCACGGACAGGGTCCATTATGGGTAAGGGGGAGCATGGCAGAAAAAGTTTGGGGACCACTGAATTAGAGAAGGGGGAGGGGAATTAAATTAGAAAATATGGCTCTCATCCTTTAAAGCGATATATGCAAGCTGGTCCGTGCACTCCCCCAGCTCATTGACTCTACATGAGCACAGGAGTGTGCCTGCGTATTTTTCTTTACAACACTGAGGTCCAAAGGTACAGTAGATAATGTGATTATAAAGCTTGTAATCATTGGGTGGTTGTTCGATATAAATAACCTGCTAGTTTTTAACTTCTGTAGGAAGCCTGGAAACATGCCATTCAGAAAGCTAAACACATGCCTGATCCCTGGGCAGAATTTCATCTTGAGGACATTGAAACAGAATATGCCACACGTTATAGGTCTGTAGATGTTTCTACTTCTAATAGTGATGTTAAGCAGATTCCCTTGGGTTACATGTGTATATTTCAAAGGATTATGTTCATTTTTTTTATACAGTCTGCGTAATTATCTAGGTAAATAAGTCCATGGCAAGAATGTATCTAAAATGAAACTAGCATTTATAAAGACTGTACTCGATCAAAAAATAGTGAAACGTTTTAGAATCTCTCCCACTTTAGCCATGTCTAAAAGTCCCAGCATTGCAAGAAGCAGACTGGAAGTAAATGAGAAGGGTGTTGCTGATTGATTTATAAATATTCCTTAGAATTAATCCAATAAGGAAAGAAACAAAATCATTATGGTATTTGAAGCTATAAACAGCTCTGCCTGTTTGTAACACTTTGTGCCTTTCCTGAAATAGCAGTTTCTTTATGTGGACGTGCAGCAGTGCTCCATGAGGCTGGAACATAAAAGGAACAGAATAGCACAGCGTAATGTATGTGTTGAAACCAGTCCTGGTCCCTGACCTGCATATGGTACTTTGGGCACATGCTTTGCCAAAGCATTTACACTGCACAGCCATGAAGCGTTTTGTATGTTTTGAAATTTGAGGCACTGACATTTATTTATTTATTGTGCATTTTTAATAATGAAAGTGCTGAAATAGCCCAATAAAAAGAGCAGGGTCTGGTTTTGCTTCCCCTGAAAGCTGTGCTGTACAGGCTATCAAGGGAAGTAACTTGTAGATAGAATGGCTGGGCTGGCATGATTTTTGAGGGTGGAGGAGGGAATCTATCCAGGCTGGTCAGGAAAGGCAAGCTAGAAACAATCATGTGTTGCAGATACAACGGTCTTGATTCTTAGTTAGTCCATTCCTGTGCTTGGGACAGGAGGGGCAAAGCCACGTTTGTGCTCCCTATATTTTAGGGTTGTGCAGAGGCATGTCCAGCTCCTGGTGTAAGATTTAGTAGCCTCAGGGCTACTCTAATTTATGCTTTGCTTCTCAAGGTCCCCTGTGGACCTTGGGAGGCAGAGAATAGCCATAATCCAGTGCACTCAGGTCATACCCCTGTTGTGCCACCAATCCACCCCTATGCCAAGGCCTGAGAGCAGGGCTGGTGTAGAGATCTTAGGCCAGCTCTGCCCCAGCCAGGGGAGGCCCCCTGTGAAGCAGATATTCTCGGAGGACCATTTCCACCCTCTGTACCTGGCAAGAGCAGCCTGGAGGAGCTTTAACATAACAGCAGATCAGGCCCATTTTGTAGTGTGGACAGGGTCTTAGTTTCGGCTGCAGAGTTTACATGGGCTCTGGAGTAGAGGGCTTTTTGTTGGCCGAGCCACAGGGTGGCCTCAGTGTGGCCCTCTGAGGAGGCCATTTGCTAGTTTTCTTTCCTAAGTCGTATATTGGCAGCCACGTAGATTTGGGGAGTGGAGAGGCTCAGAGTTCTGTAAGATAGAGCAGAGAGAAGAACTTTACATCAACTCCCCAGTCAGCTAGGATCAGCTGTGACACAGGGGAAAGTCTTTGGTTCCTTGTGCATTTTACTAAGAGGTGTGAATTCTAATTGTGCAGGTACAACGCAGTTACTGGAGAGTGGGTCGAAGATGAAGTTCTCATCAAAATGGCTTCACAAGTAAGAGCACATTTGTCTCTGTCTTTTCTATTAATAGTAGTAGTAGTGGGGGGTATTTATTAGTTCCTTCTTAATATAGACTAAGCTAGGGGAAGGTGCCTAACAGAGGTTTTTTAACAGGGGTTTCCAAGCCTCAGGATCATTCTCTTCATTTTATTCCTCTGCTTTTCCTTTAAGGGTCTGTGCACAATACTCTTCCCTTCACTGGAATAGAGCAGCATGTAGGGGCAGCTCTTCCCCAGCCCAGCAGCAGCCATGCAATTGCCAACCAAAGACAAGTGACGTGAGGCAGACACTCCCATCCAGGAGTTCAGCATGCTGCCTCCTCAGCACTCCCCACTCCTGCTGGCATGGGTGTTTTGGGCAGAGCCCAGGACTCTAACCCATAGCCCACTGCCTGGCAGTCTGGCCAGCTTTGTCTTTTTGAGGCTTCCAAATAATTTCTGCTCTTAAGGAAAAAACTGCCTGGGTTTTCTGCTGATGAGGGTAGGACCACCATCACCTACTGCTTAAAACAAGGAGTCACTTGAGAAGTTTTGGGAGCTGCTTGGTCCATGTTACTGCAGAAGTGCATGTATTTAGAGTGGTGTCAGTCTGCAGGTCACATTGGACACCCAGGGCTAAATTTGGGAATTTTGAAGTCAGCTGTTTTGGGCAGTCACAAAAAAGCTAACTCAAGCCTGGACGGATATTTTGAATCAGACCTTGAGCAAAAACCTCTCTGTCCTGCAGAGATATTAAAGATCCATGCCACTTTTCCTTAGAAGAGGGAGATTTTCTCCAGGCGCCTTTCCCCAAATTCCCCTTCCCCTCTACTTTGGGCCAATTGGTTACCACCTTCCATTTCAGAGAAGGATGCATTTCAAGCTGTGTTGTATGTGGGTAATTTGTGAGGTGCTTGGGTATCTTGCAGGAGGAAAGGGGCTGTGGAAATGTCAAATACTGTTAAAGATTAACTTTATGGCAATGACTGTCTTTGGATTTTTTTCAGCCCTTTGGCCGTGGAGCAATGCGGGAGTGCTTCAGAACGTAAGCGTCCACTGGCTTTTTCTTTTTGGCCTTCTTGTAGCATTTCATGTAGTTGTGAGTGCAGCAGTTTTAATGTAATTGTTCTCTCTGACATGGGGGAAGGGAACGCAGGGAAAAAGTAAAATTCCCTGCTGGGTGAGAGCATGGCAGGGTGGAGAACCAGGCTACAGTCCCAGTGGGTTGGCCAAATTGTGCCTGGCCTTTGCATGGGTTTGCAAGGAAAGGAGGACAAGGAGCCTCCTAGCTATGCTCTCTGACAGAGGCCAGGCACAATTGCAGTTGTCTCCTTCTCCCTGTATCTTGCCGGGGTACTAGCCACAGCATAGGGAACACCACAGAAGGGACAGCGTGCTGCCTTCTCCTAAGGGATAGTAGAGTGAGTGTGCTCGGGGAATGCAGTGAGCATGCTTGGGGAATGCTGAGATTTGAGGCATGATCTCTCCTGGAGCACTCTTGGAACAGTAGCTTTGAATAGTCCCAAACAGACATAATCAGTTGCTTAATACTTAGATCCATAAAAGTTAGGGCTGGAACTTGCCTCTTCCACCATCTGCTGTAGCTTAGCCGCTCACACAGATGTTCCTAGAACAGTGGGTTACCAGTTTGCTGGAACGGTCCTGAATGGGATGGGACTGCAGGGGGTCTGCAACTCTTGGAGGGCAAATGCAGGCCCATGGTTATGCAGATATAAGGGGGAGGAATAGCTGGAATCAGGGGAAAGAGATGCCCAGTTCTCACCAGAAGCCTATCGTGCTGAGAGTTAAACGTGAATCAGATGCTATAGAACAGTGGTTCCCAAACTGGGGTTCGCGAAATGTTACAGGGGGTTCTCAGGAAAAAATTCCCTAATGGCAGACAGAGCTGTCCCTAGGGACCCCAAGCAGCACTTTGCCAGCAGCCCGGAGCCCCTGGACTTCCAAGAGCTAACCAGATCAAAGCAAGCATATCTATCACACTGAGGAGATTTAAACTTCAAGACTCCTTATAAGAAATGGAAAGGGAGGTGGATATTTTTTGCTGTTTTTAAAATTAAATAGGCAGCTAGTATTGTTTTTAAAATTATTATCAAGAACAAATTTAAGCTTTGTTGTAACGTGGGTTTTTGCATGGACTGCTCAAGACCTGAATGCTTGTGTAGGAGGAACTCTGAGTTGGCTTCTTAAATACCTTCATGCTGTTTCACATCTGATACTTCTTGATGAAACATAGGAGCTTTGTCTTATAACAGGCTTATTCAAAGTGATACAAGCTACAAAAGTGAGATCTTGGAAGAGAGTTGCCATTTTCATAATGTATTACAAATACAGTAATGATAAATAATAATACATAGTGTGTAATAAGCATGACATAAAAACAAATTTTATATTTCCAAGATCACTACTTTTATTATTTATACTCTGGTGAAGGAGAAAATCCCTGGAAATATTCATTTTTAGGAGGGGGTTCGCGAGACTTGACATTTTAGTGAAAGGGGTTGACAGGTTGTTAAAGTTTGGGAACCACTGCTATAGAATAATCACCATGACTGTGTTCTAAGCAAGGTGGAACTGGAAGAAGAAGAAGAATCATTCTTCCCAGTAAGTGAAATTGCTGGATGGGGAGGGTTTCTCTTTGGTCAGCGAATGTTTGAGGATACAGCTATATGTACCAGCACCTTGCAGTAGATTAGTTTGCACTAGAAAAGAATCCCCTCCCTTTCCAGTCTCCGGATGCTAATGTCTCCTAGAAAGTACACATGTTGATGCTTCAAGCAGCTCCCCCTTCTCTCTGACTGCTGGATCCAGATGATTGGGATTTAACATCTGGTTTCATTTACGGGGAGAGAGAGAGAGAGAAGCTTCCAAATGGTAGCAGCTCAATGTACTGAATATCCAGGTAAACAGGACAAAGTAACTGTTAAACCCACTACTTGGGCCTGAGTGGATTTAGAAGCAGTGCAAACAGTTTCTGTTCATGCAAAACCAGATGCAGTGGAAGCTTTGGAAGCAACAAGTCTTAGTTTGTCCTGTTTGCTTTCAGCTCTTGTTTGTAAATGACCAAATTCCTCTTTGTGTCCCTGGCCTAAGATACTGTAAATGTAAATTGCATCTCACTATTATGTCACTACCTCAAACTTTTGTTCTTAAACAAGTTTCACATGTGTGTTTCTTTAGCTTCCTTTCTCCTGGATTTTAGAGAGTTCATTTACAGTGGTTCGTTGATATTTCTCATCCATGAGCCTCTTCTTTTATGTCCTTATGACTCAGGGGGCTCTATTCTGATTGCTGTGCACTTGCATGGAGATCTTTCCCCCACAAATTTTCACTCAGCCGAATGGCAGCAAGGTGCTTAGCAAACAGTGGAGAATGCTGGCTGCAGGAGAGCATGAGAGCTGGCTTGTCTTTGGAGGAAGAGATTGATTCCCTGGAGAGCCACGCTGCTCTGAAATCCTTGTTCGAACTCTTAGAATCTTTCATTTTTGCCTGTTTACCCCTTCCTTTGAGGGCCTGTGTCACAGCCACTGTCTGTCTGTCTGCCCCAGCAGGAGTGTGGTGGGCTCCCTTCCTGGGCAGCAGTAGCTCTCCAATATTTTCGCTCTGCACTACTTGCCAAGTAGTGCAATTTTCTCATGGGCTCCCCTCCACTCCCAACGTGTTGGGAAGGAGAGGAGTTTAGCTGGCACTGCTTGGCTCTCAAAAGTGTCATTCTGCAGATCACCAAAAAGGTTCTGTGTACCATCGCTGACCACTGGTCATAGTTTGAGAACCACCAGGAGGTAGCTGGACATGACTTCAGACACTACTTTACCTTCCCGACCTCATCCTCCAGACTGCTGCTGCTCACCCCCAATTTTGCCAGAAGCTTCTGCTTCTGGTCTGTCTTCAGATCTTTTGTCATCACCTCTGTTAAATTAAATCACCCAGCAGAAAGACCATGTGCACCTTCTTTCTTTCTCCCTAAGCCCCATATGAATAGGCATAACACACCCTACTATTGGCCTGCTGGGGAAAGGTGAAAAGAGCGAGCGAGTGGCATAGAGGTCCCCAAACTCAAAAGTATTGCCTGTGAGGCCTAGAAACCTATTGTTTTCTAGTTGACCTGTATTTTGGCATCCCCTGCAGCCTCCCATGCACTTGCATTAGTTGGCATCCAGCAGTCCCTCTGCCGTCAGTCTTTCTTTCTTCACTCTTCATTGTTTACATCTTAAGGACTTATATGTTGACAGAGCTTTAGAGGTGCAGCAAAAGGATTCCAATCTGCAACACCTGTTCCTCACCATAAGGTGACTGAGTATCTATTCTTGTGTTATATAAGCAGAAGTCTGCCCTTATCAGAGGAGAAAAGGGCTGTTTCCTCTCTGTTAAAGTTTTAAAATCACCTTTAATTTTCTGCAAGACAAAGTGATTGGCTTAGAACAAGTGCTTGAGACAAACACCATTGACTCATGCATTGGTTTGAGATCAGAAGGGAAGTGAGAGGGTAGGGAGCAGTACTACATAACAGCAGCCGAGCCATGTGTTTGTTCTGCTGTGTGCAGGCTGTCTTTTAGCATGTTGCAAAGCATTCATGCAAGATGCTGCTTTCTCCCTCCTCCTTGATATGTGCTCAAACGTCTTTTTCAGCTCGAATATCTGTTCAAACTCATCAGTCAGATCCAGATGTAGGTTGCTGTTGAGGGAAGAATTTGGCACATTGAATTTTGGTGTTTTGGGAGGCGAGGGAATGGGAAATATTGAATCAAAGTTCTCAGTTTCCCTTTTATCTGCAATTGGTTTGCCTTGCAGGAAAAAGTTGTCCAATTTTTTACACACTCAGAACTGGAAAGGTGCATTTAACTATGTTGCCAAGCGATACATCGAGACTGTAGACAGGGATGTATACTTTGAGGATGTCCGACTTCAAATGGAAGCAAAACTTTGGGGAGAGGAGTATAACCGGCACAAGCCACCAAAACAGGTACCACAAAGCACCAAGCGAACCAATGAGCAAGAAATTGTTTTTCTGTTTTAAGGAGTGAGTTTTCAAACCAGTTCCCAGGGATTTATCTGTGCAAATCCCATTAAGGTTAATGCCAATTAATTGCTCAGATAAAGCCGTATGGCCCACGCTGAACATTTTTCATTAATTGTTTTTATGGTAGTTGAATTTTAATAAAGAAAAAGTGCAGAAAGCGTTCATGCTTTCTAAGGGCATTGTATGCAAATACTTAACCTACCAACAGAGAACAGCCAAAAGCAAAGTTAAGGCATTTTAGTCAAGATTTCTAGACACCTGCTCCAGGGATATCCCCACTGTAGCGAGAACCAGGAATGCTACAAAATGTACTTCCAGCTGCAATACATTTGTGTTTGCCTAGCAAATACTTAATAGATGGTATTTCAGAGGAGGCAAGAACTTCCCAAACATAGATGTCTGAGGAATGGAAAAAGGATCTACCAGCAATGAAAATTAAGAGCCATATTCTGGCTTTGGAATCACATGTATGGCTCTGAATTTACTTTTTGAGGAGCAGACCATGCATATCTGAGGGTGCAATAGCCCTTTATTGCTAAAGAGATCTTTCGCCCATACTTCCAAGTGATCTTCATTTTGAGCGGCAAATGTACTGGCCATCAGGAGGTTCTTCTGCAAATTAATCAGCTAGATCCAATCACTTAAAAAGACCAGTAATGGTTTCTCCTTTGGAGGGTAGGGGTTTCTAAAATCACCCTAAATTTGTGAATGGTAAAAGACAAAGGGCAGGTCTTCACTCCATTGCTGTAGTGCATGCGCTAGTTACTGCAAATTGTATGACACGTCCATCTATGTGTGAGTGTGGGTATACAGATTGTTCATAAGACACTTCAGAAGTCCCCAGTAAAAATCAAAAATCAATGTCTGCTAAAAGCTTTTCTGAAGGATTTGTCTTTTGTTCTTTCAAGCAAAAAGTAGAAGTGAGTTGGTTTTCAGGGACTGCTGCTGCTTTATGTAATTCTGCCAGCAACCCCAAAAGCACATGACTCTTCACTCTCATTGTTAAATAAACAAGTCTTTGCAACTGTTCATTGCCAAAGTTTGCTTAGCTGCACAATTCACATGCTTTCTTCTTGATTTGAACGGAGTGCTCCTTTGTGAAAGTTTCTTGCTTCCTTTCCCAGGTTGACATAGTGCAGACCAGCATTATTGAAATGAAAAACAGACCTGGAAAGCCCCTCTTTCATTTGGAACATTACATAGAGGGCAAATACATCAAATACAACTCAAACTCTGGATTCGTACGAGATGACAACATTCGCCTTACCCCACAAGTGAGACTTTAGCGCTGCTCGGAGTGCTCCCTGCTTGCTGCAGGGATTTGCTTGGCTTTACTGAGAGATCCACTTGTTTTTGCCAAGAAAAGACATTGCAGATTTTCAAGGATGGTGCAGAATTAATGTATCCAGTTACAGCACAGGCTTTATCATTTAGGGCCTGATCCTGCAAGATTCTGAGTGCTTCCTGAGGATTGCCTAGTATACTCAGGTTACACAGGCTTCAGTGGGAGTTGAGGGTGCTCAGCACCTCGGTGAAAGCATTCAGCACCTTGTAATATTGAGCCTTATTTTAGTTAATATCCAACCTTAGCAGGGGCAGATTTTGCAAACTCAGATTTTAAAAGAAATAAAGGGTTCAAGCTTTAGATTCTGAATGGTATTCTACTAAATCAGTATACTAGATAAGAACAAGGGGGCAGATACTTAGCTGGTGTAACTCAGCATAGCTCAGTTGTCTTTGGCCAATTTACACCTGCTGAGGATCTGGTCCATTAATTCCAGCCTCTGAATAAGTGAACCAGGAGTTGTTTCTGTAGCAATAAAGCGGCTTACTCAAATAAACAAACAACCCATGTGATCCGTGTAAATCTCATGGTTCTAATAAAAGGATTAAAACAAATGGTAGAAAGCGCCACACAAGCAACCTTTTAAAGGTTTCTCATATTCACCTCGTTGCTTAAATGTGGATGGAGGGTTTTATGTCCTCCATTGGCTTTTTGTACATTGTGGAATCAACACTATTCTTTCAGAGGTTGGGAACAAAATGTTTCATAAGATTTCCTGCACTAAAAATGTTTATCTAAACAAAGTGCATTATCCTCAATGAAAAATATTAACTAAAAACAATGGTGTAAGCCTGAAATTAAATACAGAGTCCTTCTGGAGGCCTTCCCAGGAGGTGCCAAATGTCCCAGCTGTATGCAAAAGAGCAGGATTATTTTTGTGCTTGGAACACTTAAAATGCAATATTTAAAGAGCCCAGTCATACATTTTGCAGTCTTAACTATGTTCCTAGAGCCAGATCACCGCACCTTATAGGACAGCTCACACAAGGGGACCCTAGAGAAAGGAAAGCTCTGTGAACATGCTTACATTTCCCTTTGGCACTTGGAGAATGGGCTCTGCCTACCCACAGAAGACACAGGGGTCTGCCCCCAAAACTCCATAGCCCTGAGATCCAGAGGTGGAGGGCTGTTTGTGTTGAGCCTCTGTGACTCCACATCCTGCTGCTGCTCTCCTTAGTTCTGTCCTTCGCAACAGCTGTCTCTGAATTCCACTTTTAAAGGAGTAGGGCTCCATCGGAAAATAGAATTCCCAGTATGGGAGGAGGGAATGATGCTTATCCCTTTCAGTTCGCCCACTTGGCCTTCCCATTCTTGCCTCACAGCCCATCCACTCTCCACTATGTGGGGTCCAGGCTGGAGACATGCCGCCCCTTCCATGTTAGAGATCGGCTTACAAAGGTTCCCCTCCCCATGTTGGTCCTGGGGAACAACCCTCCCTTCCCCAAGTATTTAATTTTAGGCTTACACCATTGTTTTTAGTTAATATTTTTCATTGAGGATAATGCAGCTTCACATACAATCTGCAGAGTAATGTTCAGCCAGACAGTTTGCCAACAATAGACTGTGCTTCTTTCCTGCCTTTGAGTTAAAATTAAAGGCCACATGCCAAATCCTTCTGGCTTACCTACACAAGCTGTCCTATTGACTTCCTATGAGTAAGGCAACCAGGATTTGCCACCAAGTGTGGTCTTGGATTGATTCTCTCTCAGAGGGCTGTACCCTACATTTGCAAGGGATGGACTCTCTTGTAATAGGACTTTTCCATCTCTAGCTATTATCCTTATATTTACACTGGGCCTAATTCACCAGTGGCTCACTCCAACTTTACACTGGTTTATCAGGTTTATCAGTGGTGAATCAGGCTCAGGATGTCATAATGAATTGTCTTTAAGGTGTCAATGAAAAAATTAAAATAGAAAAATAAAGTCAGGTATCTTGTTGCTCTCAATAAAATGAGGATTAAGTTTCCTCGTTCACATCCTGTTTGCCCATTTATATTGTCTTGATTTCCTTCTCCATCACTTAATTATTTTACAATTCCCTACAGGCCTTTAGCCACTTCACATTTGAGCGTTCAGGACACCAGCTCATTATTGTTGATATACAGGGAGTTGGCGATCTTTATACAGACCCTCAGATCCACACAGAGAGTGGCACAGACTTTGGAGATGGCAACCTAGGTAAAATCAACAGTGCTAGTTAATATTTTTATGAATGCCTTTTCTCCTTCTGAGCAGTCTGCTGAGCAGCACTAACGTGGGTATGAGAAGTGCAGGCAAACTTCTGATGAGCAGAATATGAACAACTGGGAAATTTCCACCTCCAGTGCCTGCTAATTTGTGTCATTGTGTATCGTAAGGTACCCCAACAACCGTATGTGAAGCTCTGGTGGATTTAGTTGACTCAGGGTGGCTGTTTTAAAAAGAAAAACATTTTCCGCATCCTGCCAGCTCCAGTCTTAAACCAGCAAAGTTATGTAATTAACAAGCTTCCTGCAGTTGAGAGCAGTAAATTCCCCGCCAAATCACTAGAATGCATCCAGCAGAGTGGATGGAGGAATAACCTTGTTTACAATTTAAGCTCCAGTTGCTCTCACATTCATATCTGCCTAGAATTTGTGAGAGTCTTTTGTATGGGATTGAATTTTGCCCTGTTTTTTAATTGTTTATTGCACTATATCTTACATTCATTAGAGCCAGAGCTTCTAAGATTTTAACATTTTTGCAGACATTGATTTAAAGGGATGATAGAGAAAAGCTATCCGAGATTTTAAAATAGAAAGTGTGTGTGTTTGTTTTGGGGGTAGTTCTATTTTAGGCCGGTAGTATTTTAAAATTGAAAGATGATCGAGAATATCGTGGCATAGCTGCATGAATCATTTGAAGGAAGGCATTTAGGGCTTCTAAAATCTAATCTCTTGTTGATAAAATATTCCTTCACTAAATTCTTTTATTATCCCCAGGTGTACGGGGTATGGCTTTGTTCTTTCATTCTCATGCCTGTAACAAGATTTGCAAAAGTATGGGACTTACACCTTTTGATCTTTCACCTAAAGAGAAGCATGTCTTGGATCATAGTAACAAACTGCTTGTAAGTTTCTTTGTGCTAAGTGTAAAATATAGTAGTTTGATGCTGAGTTATCCACTATTGGTTCCTAAATTGATGCTGTAGATATGAGCATGAAACCCTATATCATGTTCATAAAATAGATCTTAAAGCACCCAAACCATTAATGGTTTCTGAAGATCATGGTGACAACAGATAATTATGGGAACAAAGACTCAAATTGCTCATTCTTGAATTGAACAAAGCTCCAATTGTTTTCTACAGGAATTTTACTTGATTAAGGAATGCAGAATCTGGACTATAATTTTGGGGTGAAATTCTGGCCCCACTGAAATCAATAGCAGAACTCCCATTGACTTCAATGGGGCTAGTATTTCATCTGTTGTGTGTTTTTAATTAATACATACATATATACATGCACATATATACATATATCTATATGTATGAGCCCATTATTAAATATTTGTGTGTGTTCATATACACACCATATTCAGAATATAGTGAAGGAAAGCATGAGTGATAGGATTTTCATGTTCCTTTACCAAGGAATCTGCTCAGACAATTGTACGTGGCACAGAGGAAAAATGTGGCAGTAGCCGGGTGAGAACGATCTCCGGTAGTCGGCCTCCTCTGCTTTTCCGCCTGTCTGAAAATTCTGGAGATGAGAGCATGAGTGATGTGGCATTTGACTCCTTACCCTCTTCTCCCTCCTCAGCAACACCACATAAAATGGACATGCTTCGTGAGTGAGCCATCTGCCTTCTCTGTATACAACTTTGTGAAAGTTAGTTTTGGGCTCCTGGGCGTTTCAACAAAAACTGATTTTAATTTTATTGAGTGTCAAGTTTTATTTATTCCAAAAGCTCCTCTTCCACCATCGCCATGTCTAAACACATTTCTGCTAAGTAATAATAGAACCAAAAATATGTCTGTATTTCAACTTAATGAGGTGTTTTCATGAAAACCCTTTAATAGAAGTAAGATTATGTTACCCACAGCTCCTTCCTGACATATCATCATCTATTTCCAGAATAACAAACAAAAATTTATTCTTCTTAGACTGGCCTGTGTTCAGTGAAGTGGATAACTTGGTTCACAAAGACCACGATCATCTTGATAACCAAAGGGTAAGTGGTTTTCTGAAAAAGGATGAGTTTGCAGTTGCTTCAGTAAATGATTCTTTAAAGGACTGCCTGTGGGCATCATTCAGTAAAAACAATAAAAACTGTGCGCCTGTCCTCAGTTCTGTAGAAAGCCACATAAGCTGTATGCACCAGCTGTCCCTAATAAAGGGAGAACATTTCATATTTTAATCAAAAATATGACCGTTTATTCACTCTGTTCCTCTAGAAGTTCATTTATGTCCAACACATTTTAATGCAAAGTAAAGGTGTCTATCCATTTCCTTGCACCAGTGTCATCTGTCTGGGGCTTGTGCATGCTTCTGTGGTATGAAAGCCAGATAACATCCTCATGGATTGTCTCTGTGAATGCCAGTTAGAAAAACTCATTTGAAAGAACAACTACAGGCTCTTTAGGGTATTTTCCTAGTCTAGGCAGAGCCTTCGCAACTGAGACTTCTACTCCTCCTTAACTGGACACAAAGCATCCAAAAGAGGACACACACACACACAAAGTCAACCTTCCTCTTGGCCTTTATTGAAGTTAGTGGCACTTTTGCTTGAGTGAGGGTCTGCAGGATGAGATCCTTACAAGAGAATATACGGATACTCTGATGCTGTGCCTTTATTTGGTGTTCTGTAGGACTCTGAAAATGGTGGAGACAGTGGGTGCCCCAGTGAAAAGAGAAGTGACCTGGAAGATATGGATCATCGAGAAAGGGTAAGGATCTTTATTTTGGATTTAACAAGGCCTCGTGGGGGCCCCACTCCAATTGAAGTCAGTTTAGTAAAAGAGTTGATCTGACCTGTGCAATGAGTGAATGGACAACAATTGGAAAGATGTTCCCATATGTTTTAAAATAGATTGTTCAACTCCAATATGTTATTGCAGTTGCTTGCAGGGAAAGAATATTTCCAGTATCGCCTTAAAAATACTCCATGTGAGTGCATGTTTCTTGAGGTGCTCTGTATTGTGCTTTACAATCATGCATTGTGAAAGGTTACTTGTTAGAATGAAGATCTATGAGTATGGCTCACTTTCGAAGACCACCACTATCTCACCACCTGCTTTCCAGGTCTGCTGCATGTTATATGACGTGAGTCATCACACAGGTTAATGTTGCAGTCAACTATTAACATACTTGTACAGAATTTCTATGGGGCTGTTGCTTACTCTGATAAATCATAAACGTTTAAAGAAATGTTTCCTGTCTTAAATATTTTAAATAGCTTTTTGGTTGGTGCAGAGCAGAGCAAATACGACTGTGCTTAAAATTTTGTCAGATCTTTTGCAACAAAAATGTAATCTTTGAGGAGACAGATGACATTTTTGTCTGTCTAATGGAATAATTCAGATTATAGGATTAAAGTTTTGGCACGAAGTTTTATCAATTCAACAGGTTTCTTTCATAGATTGCAACATAATTGGGGGGGAAAACAATACAAGTTCTTTTCATCATAGTCTCTGTTAATTTTGCTGGTAAAAAAAATTGTTCCTTAGCAGTGGAAGGAACACACCAGACATAAATTAAATGATACAAATCTTTACATTAACATAGGGCCATTCAAACTACAACCGAAGACGTGAATCTGACGAAGACAGTTTGGGAAGTTCTGCAAGGGTAAATAGAGCAGAAATCTCTGCAGACAATAGTTTACCATTCTGGCCTATTTTTTTTATCTGTCACCTAACTTCACATGACTACATCAAAAGTTAATTTTCTTTCCTTTTAATTGCTGATTAAAAGTTTATATTAATAATTTTCACCTATGTTGTTTCCCTTTTCTAAATTTTTCAATGAGAGAAAAACACTGTTGTAAATAAACCCTCTGTGACCACTGAAAACAGTCCCTTGAGTAAACTAATGATTCTGCATGAATTTCTCACTTACACAATTATTATGTTTTTGTTTCCTTTACATAACAAGATTTGATTTCTTTTCTGTGCTATATTTGTTGCACTGTGCCCTAAACATGGTTGGATGATCTTTTTTTGTAAAGCCTACAGTTCTTGAAGTATGTTGAAATAGCTGTTGGTGCTATGCATTTTCTCTCTGATTTTAAAAAAAAGGATCTGTTTTCACATTTTTACAAAATGTAACTTTTATAATAATCTGTTTATTAAAGGTATTCTGTGGTTATAGAAATAAAACCGAGGTCATATATTGAGCAGAAAAAGGAAAAGAGATTTTTGACAGCAGTCAAAAATTACTTTAAAGGTTCTAATTAGAATTTCAGAGTTCTTGCAATGGGTTTAGTTGGAGGAAATTAAAATAACTTTAATGGACTGAAATTCTACATAAAACATGTATTATGAGATTTTCTTTAATAGGGATAATTTTGTATGGTTTTGCATTGTGCTAGTGATTCCCATCCACACATGGTCGTGAAAAATGCAGTTTATTAAGAGGTATTACAGCTATTTAGTTAGTTTGAATCGGACCAATCTAGCAAACCCGGCACACGTTTGCCCGGACTCCATAGCGTTTTTATTGAGAGGATTTTAATTTTCCCCTGATACTGCTGAGCATGAGCCATATCTAAAATGCTATTATTTAAATCCCCAATCCAGCAAAGCACTTAAGCACATGCTTAACTTTAAGCATGAGCAGCCCCATTGACTGCAACAGGACTATTCACATGCTTGAAGTTAAGCACAGGCTTTGCTGGATCAGGCCTAACTGTGGTGCCTTATTTTAGCTGCTGTGATTTTAAGGTTGCAAAATGTGAAGGTAATTTTGTTTACTGCCTTAGTGTGCTTAGAAATGGAGAGCTGCTCTGAGATTTTGGTGAGAGAAGTGATTATATTTTTGGGTAACTACTAACATGCCTTTTTAAATCAGTACCCTAAATTAAAAGGTTTGCTAGGAAAACAATAGCTTTAACAGACACTTCAGTTTCTGAGGGGTAACATAGTTAAATGTCTTGACGCTGTTTTATTTCAAATACAAGTTATCATACAAGTTTGTGGGTTTTCTTAGGTCAGTGTGGAGAAGTGGAATCTCTACAACTCTTCCAGAGTCCATGTCCATAGACCGTCCTGTGTTGCAGTGGAAGTTCAGAGACTCAATGCACTGGAATTTGAAAAGAAAATTGGGAAATCCATCCTTGGGAAGGTGGTGATGGTTCTTTTAATTCTGTTCTTTCCAACTTGAGAAGTATAATTTATTATTGTTTATATAGTAACAACCGCCCCCTCGACGAGCTGGCAACTGTACAGACAGGCAAAGAGCAATGTTGATATATTAGGGAGAGTCCATAAGCCACTGGGCAGATGGGGTGGGGGCAGTCTACAAAAAGCCCCAATGCTTGAGATCAGTTCCATGTCCCTTTCCTCATGTGGAGTTTATTACTGAACAGAAGATTTTAAACAGCTCAAAGTAATAGAAAATACTTGGAGTGGAATCCTTTCCCCATGTAAGTCAATGGGAGTTTTGCCCTTCATTTTGGTGGAGCCGGAGTTTCAACCTTGGTAAGAGACCTTTCCCACTTTCTGCAGGTGGGAAGGGGGATGACACATCTCTCTCCTCTGCACTCCCCTCCCCAGATAGACCTTTCTTAGCTACTATAGTGTTCCAAACTAGAGATTCTGTGTGCTAGGGCCTCTCCTGTTTGCTGCCCCTACATACAATGCAAAAAGCCTTATATTTGATTTCCTGTAGGACAGTGCTTTCTCCTAGTCATGTGCCCTGCAAGCACAACTCTCTGTTTTAAAGGGCCCAAGGGCTGTAATAGTGCACTGTGACTTGCACATGTGCCCCAGTGCTCTGTTAGTCTCACCAGGTCACAGTTAAAGGCACATTGGTGAAGCAAGGTGGTGGAAGCTCGTGTGACAACTGCCTCCTTGCAGACCTGGGTCTTTTAGCTCAGGCAGTAGAGACTCCTAAACTGCTATGTGGTCCAGCCACTAGAGGAAGACACTGTGTAAGTGAGGTTTACAGTTGCTGCTGGCCAGCCTATGTCTGTTTTATAGACAAAACAGAGTCTGTTTGTCCTGAGGATTATCAAACTGGCTCCCTTCATAAGCACTGTGCGCGAGAGTGAATTTAATCACTTGCTTTCTTCACCTCCTCCCTCCCAGTATACTTGTCTGCAAAGCAGTTAAGCACATGATTAATTTTAAGCCCCAATCCCCTGCCCCAGCACTGAGCCCCCCCAACCCAGAGCCCCTTCCTGTACCCCAAACCCCTCATCCCCAGCCCCACCCCAGAGCCTGAACCCCCAGTTCAGAGCCCTGACTCCTCCTGCACCCCAGCCCCGAGCCTCCCCTCAAACTTGGAGCCCCCTTCTGCACCCCAAACCTCTCATATCTGGCCCCAGCCCAGAGCCTGCACCCCCAGCCCAGACTCCTGACCCCCTCCTGCACCGCAACCCCCTGCCCCGAGCCCAGAGCCCCCTCCCACACCCTGAACCCCTCATTCCCAACCCTCACCCCCACACCCCAACCCTCTGCCCTAGCCCTGAGCCCCTCCCAAACCCCTCATCCCTAGCTCTGTTGCGTCACAGGCATCAACAACTTTCTTCAACTGGGTCGCCAGAAAAAAAAGTTTGAAAACCACTGCATTAGACCCACAGTTGGTATGTCTGTTTAACTTTTCTAAATAAAATGTCACTCATGCTGTGTTGTAGGTCCATCTGGCCATGGTTCGCTACCACGAAGCTGGACGTTTCTGTGAGAAGGATCAGGAGTGGGATCAGGAATCCGCTCTTTTTCACCTGGTGCATGCTGCTGATTGTGGAGAACTGGAAGCCATCGTAGGGTTAGGACTCATGTATTCCCAGCTGCCACATCACATTCTTTCAGAGGTCACTTCAGAGGTATAGAAATACTGAAAATACCAAAATACAAAGTAAAGCATCCTGGGATCGTTTGTGTCCTGTCTAGTCTAGGAGCAGCAGACCATCCTGCCGAGTGATAATACTAATATTATATTCACTGCGATATCCAACAATCCCAGGCATGCATTTGGAGGGAAGAAGGGTGGTCCCTTGTGATTAAGACCTGGAACTAGGAACAAGATAACCAGCTTCTTTTCCTGTCTTTGCCACAGATTAATTTCATGGTTCTAGATAAGTCATTGAGGCCTATATTTTCAAAACTGGCCTCTGATTTTGGGTCCCTCACTTTTTGGTGCCCAACTTGGACACCTTGGACCTGATTTTTCAAAAAGTGCTGAAGACCTGCAACACCCATTGACTTTGTTGGGGTTGTACCTACAACTAAGGGAACGAATGATGGAATTTTAGATGTATCCATTTTAGTATTTGTTTCTGCTTTTGCCTTCAAAGGACACAGAGGAAAACCGAGGAAAAGGATTTGATTATTTACTGAGAGCAGCAGAAGCTGGAGACCGGCCTTCCATGATTCTGGTAGCAAGAGCATATGACACAGGTGTAAATCTTGGTTCAAACAGGTACTGTGTGTGTGAGCTTGTATGTGTGAATGAATAACTTATTGTAGGTTAGAATGTTTGATTGCCCATGCAGAAGATTTTTTTAATTGCAGGCTCTCACTTACATGAGTGCTAATTATTATTATTAGTAGTAGTATTTACTGAATTTTATGGAGATACTTCAAATTTACACAGATGTAAGTGAGAGCAGAATTTGTACTATAATATTATATCACCACAGAAGGGAAGAGTTACACAGATTGAGAGACAGATCCTGCTCTTGGATACTTGCGTTGCATGTCCCATTGATGTGAATGGGAGCTGCGTGTGCATGTTTGAATTTGGCCCTGATATTCAAGTCACACTGGTTTATATGTGAATAAGGCTAAGAGATTGCTGCCCCCACATCTCCGGGTAGCTGCAGTAACCCTGGGATGCATACCCTCACCCTCCCGGGGCAATGGCTGATGAATCCACATAACAGTCTAATTGTCCCTATACATTGGAACCACACCACTGCTGCTGCTTTATGGGGCACTCCTCACCCCAAAGGAGCAGGCAGGATTTTCCACTAAGGCTTACATAGGGCTTGCACAAGCTTGCTGCACTATAGCGACTTTCCCCCTTACTTATGGTAAGGCCTGAGGCTTTCTCCTCTGAGGTCAATGGTAAAATTGCCATTGGCTTTAATGGGAGTAGGGCCAGGTCCTCAAAAAGCGAGGGTCAGTGAAAAAATGAGTATAAAAACTGTCAGTGTGAAATGTAGTCACTTAAAAATTGAGTCACTTCAGGTGAGTTTTACCATTACATTTTCCTGTTTTAAAAAACATTATTGTTCCTTCCTTGTTGCATTGTGAAAGACCCAAACAACCGGGGAAACAGAGACAGACTGACACAAGGAAATACTGAAACTGCCTGTAAACAATGCTCTAAAATGTACAAAGTAAACACATTGAAAAGATAGAAGAAGAATCATTTTTCTAATCGCTTTCAGTCATTGTCATTCTAGTTACTTTTAATAATGATAGCAAAAGATGTCAGAGAAGAGTGTGATTTTTAAGTTGATGTCGTTATTTTAAATCCAGGATGATTTGAAGTTTTAAACTGGCAAATCTCTTTTCATGTGACAAGCACTCTAATTCAGTGGTTCTCAACCTTTCCAGATTACCATACCCCTTTCAGGAGTCTGATTTGTTTTGCATACCACAAGTTTCACCTCACTTAAAACTGCTTGTTTACAAAATCAGACATAAAAATACAAAAGTATCACAGCACACTATTACTGAAAAATTGCTTACTTTCTCTTTTTTACCATATAATTATAAAATAAATCAATTGGAATATAAATATTGTACTTACATTTCAGTGAGCTGTATAGAGCAGTATAAATTAGTCATTATCTGTATGAAATTTTAGTTTGTACTGACTTCGCTAGTACTTTTTATGTAGCCTGTTGTAAAACTAGGCAACTCTCTAGATGACTTGATGTACCCCTGGAAGACCTCTACATACCCCAAGCATTACGTGTACCCCTGGTTGAGAACCACTGCTCTAATTATAACTTTAAAATGGCTGGTCTCATTTCGGAGCAGTTTAATAACAATTTTTATAGATAGGCTATTAAGCAAGCCCTGAAATTCAGAGTTTATAATGGAAAAGGCTGATACAGCCAAAATTACAACAGGATGGCTCTGACTCAAAAATACATGGTGTGGTTTGCCACAAACTACACAACATCTTGTTCACTAATTTTGTATATTTTTAAAATGTCATAATTTAAAAAAAATACAATATTAGATTAATTTTCCAATGTACCAAACACACCAGGTGATGGATAAGGGATTACACCCTTCTTCCTTTTGTCTTATTAATAATGCCAACCTTGAATGGGACCTATTAATATAGCCATTCAGCTCAGAATCCAGGAAGATTGTGTGTGTGCATTTGTGATTCACTCCCAAGATCCAACCACAAACCAAACTGTGCCCACTTAAGATGCCAAAACAAGATGCCACTCAGTCAGTTGCACAGATCTTCATAATATGATCATCCCTTTTAATAATAACAATCATCCCTTTTATTTCTTATATGTTTTGATCAGCAAAGAAACACTTAACAAAACTGATATTAAATTATCATTAGGCTTAAGAATTAACATCATATTGAAATGAATGGGGCAGTTCACACCACAGCTATTTCTTAAGGCTCAGACAGACCTCAGTTTGCACTTGATTTGCAGTTTTATTGTTATCTTTACACGCATACAGGCTAAAGACTTGTCTTTTTTTTTTTTTTTTTTAAAGAAAGCTGAGATTCTAGAGTATAAGAATGCAGCCTCCGAAAACAATATGAACTTGTCGAGCCATTGCAATCCATCATTTCATCCCTGTGAATCCCAAATGGATGTAAAGTGAATTTAGCCCCATTCATCATTAGGGGGCTGGATTCTGTAATGCATAGTCAGTGGGACTAATCACCTGCTTAAATGTAAGCACATGGTTAAGTGCTTTGCTGGATTGGGTCGGTGTGCTCAGCACTTTGCAGGATTAAGCTCTATAGCTCCAAAGTAAAACTTCTTCATTTCCCGGGGTAACCTGTTTTAAAAATTATTTTAAAAATCAGAATCCAAGACTGGAAGGAAGCCCTGCACTGGTACAACGCTGCACTGAACATGACCGATTATGATGAAGGGGGTGAATACGATGGAACTCAGGACGAGCCCCGGTATCTGCTCCTGGCAAGGGAAGCTGAGATGTTAATGACAGGAGGGTTCCACCTGGCCAAGGATCCCCAAAGATCGGGTAGGATGTTGACTTGGTCCATTCCTGTTGGTGTGCCGTGGCAGTGCCGTGTATGTCCGTTTTGCTTAATATTTGAATGAGTCTAGGTACACATTGGGTGATGCTTAACATGCTATTCTAAAGGTCCTTGAAGGGTGGGTTTAGGGGACACGGATTTGCTGTACTAGGCCTTAGAATGCAATATTCGTCCTGAGGCCTCTAAGCTATCTCTCCATCTTAGGTTTTTATGTGTGTTTCCCCCCCCCCCCCGACCTATAGTATCTGTATTGAATGTATTTATCCACCCCAGACCCCTGTGAGGTAGGGCAATGCTATTATCCCCATTTTATAGATGGGGACCTGAGGCACACACAAGAAGTCTGTGGTGGAACAGGAATTGTATCCTTATCTCTCAAGTTCCAGGGTCTTCTGAGTCCTGAGCTGGACAGCAAGTCCCTCTCCTCATCTTCATCGTCACGCAGAAGGAATCCCACCTCCCCCTCTCACCTGAATGATCCCTAACCTTGCCTGGTTGAACACTGGTGGATTCCTATGGAGTGGGCCAACTGTCTGCCAGGCCTCACCCAAGCAGGCCAGCAGCTTCACACCACCAGCCTGGCAGCCTTTCTCCCTGCATGTAGTTATTCTGTGCTCTAAGCTGGTCCCTCTCCATCTCATTTGTATCCCCTTCTCTAGTAGTGGGAGACCAGGCACAGAAGAAGTGGAAGTCATTGGCAGAGAGCGTGTGCCAGTAATGAGTAGGCAGATTCAGTCAGGACTCACTGCAGGCAAAAATCCTGATTTGGTTCCTGGAGCCAGCAACTTTCTTTCCTCTTACCAGCTCCCCAAAACCACTTAGGAGCTGGCTTATTCTCAAGTTATAAAACAGCTGTGTGTTAGCCAATGCTGCAGGACAGTGCTCTTCGCAATTTTTGAAGTGGGGCCACTTTGGCAAAAAAACTTCAATGTGAGAGCCACATCAACTCAACACTGACAGTTGAACATTCCGAGTTGTTTGTTGGTTGATATGGTAATATTACTGTTCTTGGTAATATTGCTTGGGGTGCAGGAGGAGGTATGAGGGGTGGCTCTGGGAGAGGGCTGGGGCAGGGGCATGGGGTGCAGGAGGGGGTGAGGGGTGGAAGGTCTGAGAGGGAGTTTGAGTGCAGGAGGGGACTCTAGGCTGGGGCAGAGTGTTTGGGTGCAGGAGGGACTATGGGGTGCTGGCTCCAGGAGGAGGTACGGGGTGCAGGGGGGATATGGGATGCGGGCTCTGGGAGGGGGCTTGGCTGGGGCAGGGGCTTGGGGTGCAGGAGGTGGTATGCTCTCTGCCTGCCCCGGCCCCATGCTGCTCCCGGAAGTGGCCAGCATGCCCCCGCAGTCCTGGAGGTGTAAGGCAGGGAGCAGAGGTCTCCACACGCTGCTCCTGCCTCCAAGCACCACCTCCACAGCTCCCATTGGCCAGGAATGGGGAACTGTGGCCAATGGGAGTTGTATGGGCAGTGCCTGCAGAGAGGGGCAGCCCGCAGAGCTACATGCGCCCCCCCAGGGGCCGCAAGGGCGCGTTAGACCCTTCCAGAAGCAGCATGGGGCCGGGGCTGCCCGAAGTAAGTGCTGTCCCCTTCAGTGGGTAGGTTCTGAATAGCTCTTCCACCACCCAACCTGCAGCCTCCCAGAGCCAGCCCCCCATACTCCCTCCTGCACCCCAAGCCTGAGCCCCCTCCCAGAGCCAGCCCCCCATACTCCCTCCTGCACCCCAAGCCTGAGCCCCCTCCCAGAGCCTGCACCTCTTGCCTTAGCTGCAGCCCCACTGCCGCTGGAAAGCGCGATCGACAGGGAGCCGCACTTAGGGTCCATAGGAGCCACCACTGGCTCGCAGGCCTTGCAGTGAAGAACACTGCTGTAGGATAGGTGAAACTGTAATGGCTCCAGCTAATGTGAGGCAAAACTGGCAAGTGATATTTTGTGGATGCCTTAGACAGTGGACCGAACCAGCTCCAATCCTCCAGTGTGGCAAATCCCTTTTGGCAGTACTGCTCGGCTCCCTTGAAGATCTTTGGCTGCAGTGGGCGTTTTGGGTGCCCAGCACCTCGCAGGAGCAGACATTTGACTCTGAGTGCATGACATTCTAATTGGTTCGATGTGATCTTTATGTTTGCTAATAACATTCATAAGACTTTGTTTAGCTGGTTACTGGCCTGTTGCATTTATGATCCTTGTAGGGACATCAGAAAATGTCACTCTGCTGCCATATCAGTAGTTAGCCCTGTCTCTGAATTTTAACATTGTGTGCCAGATTCTTAGCTGGTGTAAATCAGTATAACTCTATTGATGTCAATGAAGCTACCTGGATTTATACCAGCTGAAGGTCTGGCCCTGTAACTTGACCTCCATTTTTTTTTTCTTTAACTTCCCGCACCTGTAGTGTTTGTAGAGAGGAAGAAACTTTTTTTCTTTGGCCTACTGACATGACTCTCAAACTGCCTTTCCTAGGTGAGTTGTATACAGAAGCAGCAGAAGCGGCAATACAAGCCATGAAGGGCAGATTGGCAAATCAATACTACCAGAAAGCGGAAGAAGCTTGGGCAATGATGGAGGAATGAAACTTCAAATGAGGCAGCTCTTGTATATTAAAAAAAAATTTTTATAGACTGTTACTTTGCAAAAAAAAAAAAAGAATGTATTTTATTGTGTCGTTACTGATTTGTGTTTTTCTATATTTTAATTTTCT